GCCGCCACCGGTCAGCACCGCCTCCCTCCCGCTCACCTACAACCACAATTTGTCATTTTCACGTTATATTTATTTTCTTCGTATTATATAAACTGAAATATATTCGGCGTATCTACGCTCTTTTGGGATTCGATCGTGCTATCGGTACGTTAGAACGCGGGTACTTGACCTGATTAAATTTTAATGCCGTAACTACGAAAGTTTCTGGCGAAGAAACAACCCAGTTGACAGGTTAAATGGTATGTTTCAACGTTTCTGTGTTCTTATCTTGCAGATCGTTCGATATTTTACGATACGGCGATAAAAAGCGAAGGATACAATTTAGCTAAAAATATGTCTCCTCTCTTCGAATTGGAATTTTACGAAAAAGCTACACGAACACGAATATCGTCAAGGTCGTGGTAGAACTCGAATACGTTCCTCTTTTAGCAATACCAAATTGCACGTACTTTCTACGAGCACACTTCTGTATTAGCACACTGGTGTGAAATGTGACAGGATAGGCTTCACACACGGATTACTTGTACATTTATTGTAACGGATAAATAAAAATCTCGATTAGTTGAATCATCGAACAAGAAAATATATGTACGATGGAGAAAAAATACTCCATCTACACGTTCTATCTTTATCATCTTACTTCTCGATGAACAAATACACGTTGTAAACACGCGATCGGTGAATTGTGCAGCACTCGTGTATTTTTAGCTTATCTCCATAGTATTTTGAAAAATTAACCTAAGCCGCGCAATTAGATACAAGTGCTCGACTTAGAAGTGTCATTTCGACGCTATCTTCCTGACTGAACTGCCACTTATCATCGGTCGCCACTTTATTCGTCTGAGTCATTGCGTGTGCCATCTGCGCGAGGCTAATAATAACTGATATCCCTAAAACGATAGAAACGTTCCTTGATTCCAACGCGTTCACGCCTTCCAATTCGCTCCGATCCTCGTCATATTCCGCCACCGATCGTAGAATTTTCCCAACCGATCGCGAGATCAATCGCTATTAATACCGTTTGTCTTCCTTCGATAACCTCGCTCTTAAATTCTTTGTTAAAAATGAGTCACATCTAACATCAAAGTGTCTGCTGTTTTGCGCATTAAGTTATTATGTCGGAGATCGGATATCAATGATCTCCCGGAAATCTTACGTCAGAAACGCGCAGCACTGCGACTAAAACGTGGCAATTTGCGGTTGACGAAGAGCATCCATGAATGATTCCGCTTTATCGTCAAACGCATCGATCCAACTCATTCGCAATGGTCATACGTCAGCGGACAAGATCTCTGGGCACGCGGAATCGCGTCTGTCCTATTGTTTCACGGGTGTATTCCGAGAGAATGATCTCAAAGAAGTAGCTCGCCAATGTCGTTTTGTTCTTTCTTTTTTCGAACCCTTGTCATACGATTTTTCTTTAGTATAACCATGTTTTTCCCGTGCGACTCTCGTATCTTAAGAAACTAAACGAAGATACGCGTCTTTCTTATAGACTTCGTCATAAATCACAGGTAACTAACAGGTAACAAAACCCAGAGGAAATTTCTACCAACGTCTCGTTAAAAGAAGATAAACCTCGTGACAAACCTTCAAAATCTATTCACTCGGAGCGACCAGGTCGGAACAGAAGATCTACGTCTCATCGAATGAAACGCTCGACGATCGAAATACGTACACTCGTCAGAATCTATGTACGTGTAGATATATTCGATTATTCCGATACTTGTCAAAACGATAGTTCGTCGGAACATACGTCCACATTGTAACCATAACTTAAGAACCGCTGCGCCACGAAACGTAACGAGCGTGACAACGACCACGTAACAGGCACGAAGACGTTTAAAAATATTCTCGACGACGAGTGCAATTTTGCAGCTTAATCAATTCCCGGTGAACAATAACGCAGTCGTCTGATGGCGCGGGCCGATTCCGCGTTCGAGCGGTCGAGAAACGCGCGGCGCGGTGCGGCGCGGCGGGGAAAAACACGTGGCCGGGGTCGACAGGGACACACCTGTTGCAATTACGTAACGAGCCACGGACTCTCGTAGGCGAGAGTGTGCCGGCTACACAACGGCCTACAACGAAGCCTCCGTGCGACAACAATAAAGACGTCTTCCCCTGGCGTGATGCATGGTGTCATTCACCAAGCGTACCGTGTAACTTTCGACTCGTTCCACGTTTCTAACTCGGATTTAATTATAGCCGCCGGTGAAAGTACATCGGTGTGTGGATTTATTTAACGGGACGGCAAAGAGACGCGTCAAAAGGGACGCCTTCGCGGGACGACGTTACCCTGACGGATCGCGGCTGACGAACCCTCTCACACGATGTATCATTATCTGTCACACTGACTGTCGGACAGGATCGCTCTTCTTGTCGCGACAAATCTCGTTTCGCGCTATACAGCCTCGAAGATATAAAAAATATGATATGAAAAAAGATAGTTTTAGTAGGATAACGAAGACAGATTAGACAGATCTGACGATACGTAATTTTGTCTTTGACGTTTAATCAGTGGTGAAAATCTTCGGGTGAAAATATCAGCGACCTCGCGGAAAATACTTCGCGACACCCTTTCGCGATAACCGAATCACCCGCTACTTTGCTGCGTCTCCGCATCGAAATCTTCGATAAGTATTTTAGAATATAATTCTAACTTGATATCTAGCGCTAAACATCGTCGATAATAATAAAGATAACCACGTTGGCGACTGTGCAGAAAATACTTCGCAATTCCTCCTGTAGCTCCGTGCCTCGTTCTATACTTTGGCTGGAAATTTTCGACCTCGTTGAATAATCGCTTACACGCATCTCCGAAAGGATACAGCCGGAACGTTGGCTTTCGTCGATGTATCATCCGTTCAAGAGACATACACGCTTTCTCTCTGATGATTTTTATCGTGTATAATGGTTGAAAAGTGCGGATAGGATCGTGACCCCGTCGAGGTTTTTTCAATTAACGATAGGGGACACGGTACGGACGATGAATGTCGTAAAAACGAAGACGATAGTTGGATAGGTACTGGTAGGTACGTGGTTGTGGATAGTTTTCACGAACGACGCGTCAGCATGGTGCTATTTATTTTCAGGTGTTGTTGGAGCATCTCGTTAGCGTGTTTAACACGTACGGATAGGATTCATGGTAATACGCGTTCTCGACGTGCCTCGTGAAATTTTCCAAATTTTCAATCGCTAATTACTGCTATGTTTTTGTCTCCTTCTAAGGTTAAATCTATTCCTAAGAATTTAAGAAAGAGAAAAAATCATCTTCCATTATAGTAGTTTAGCTGATAACGAGCTTTAAGCGAGGATCGTAAAAGATCAACTACAATGTTGCTTTAAATTGTGAAAAACCCTTATGCAGTGATCTATACGGAGATGGAAAGGAAAATTCCAAGAGGAAACGCGAGTAAATTCTTAGAGATTTTTACTTCGATTGTTTTTATTACAGAAATTTGATTGCTCGATAACCAGAATATGATACAACGTGTACACGGTTCAATGTCCCGAAATAATTGAGGCACCATGATTTCATAAACGACGTCACGCCCATATTTGCTGGCAAAGATCGTATTTCTCTAATTGAGTTGCTCGTCGTAAAGCGACGATAGGAGAAATCCCACCTAGCTATTAAACTGTCTCGATACATTCAAACCATCGCAAATTTCACACTAAAACCTACAAAACTATCCTTCTTCGTGAACGAACTTCCTTGTTAAACGATAAAACTACGATCGTGTGTGTCTAAAAGTAGATGAAAAAAGCCGTCGTCACGCGAATAGTACGATCGTTCCAGCCAAATTTATTTTCACCTCGAGACCGTTACGTTCCCATAAGCGACCGAAAAAGCAAACACGTTCTTTTTAACGCGGACTTGATACGTAAAGTAAATTCAGTCCGATAAAACTCTAAGAATAGCAACGTGGAACCGCATACTTGCGTTATTTGTCAATGACGTCGCTTTTCGATTACCTAAGATAACTCGATACGTCTTTCAAACGCTTACTGACACTATCTTTAAATTTGGCCTGATTTTATTGCGCAATATCGTTATCGTTTACTCTCAAATCAACGAGTCTTTCTACAAATAACAATTACCGTGATCCAATTCTAGATATCTAGTTGGCGTTTTTAAACTCGCCACGTTCTTTCAAATACAGTACGCAAAATCGAAAAGGATCTATCCCAAGTCTTACCGTACATAGCACGAAACGAATAAATCATAACGTCGTCAAGATTCTTATACCGATTCGTCGAGTCTTCGGGTTTTACTCGAGCTTCGAATTTACTTTCCACCCACGAACGAGTTCTTTTTCGAGCGACGATTATATACGATCCATGTGTAAAAAACTAGTTGACATCTTTAAGCCCGACATCCTTCGATAGACATCACGCAAAGCCAAGTATGTAAGATCTATTCTATTTCCATCGTGACACTTCTTCGTCTCTATGTCGCGTCTCGTTAATGGAATCTTGGAATCGCACGGACTGGTCCTCTTTCTAACGCGTTTCCACTACCTTTTGCGCAAAGTTGATCGTAGCTGAAGCGGATCGCGAACGGCCGGAATCGAGGCAGGAAGTCAAATCGGCGTGCTGTGGCCGGTGGTATGCGTCAGGCATGCGTTTACGCAACCCAGGGTCAACACTCGCGGTGCATATCGTTTAGATAAACAGTGATAACTCTTCTCTCCGAGCCTGCAGCTCGCTTTTCTGGCCTACACGAACGCGCTATTGATCTTCCACCGTCGGCTAACAGCGTCGATGTTTGATCATGCCGCGTAGGAATCGATTACCAGGTCAAAGATCGAACTTTCCGAAAAAGACTTGGATCGTACGAGCGTTTAATGCGATGATCATCGTGATCGCAAATTACAGTCATATACATGTATGCAAATTAATCGTTCGCGACTCTACGTGGAATTGGAATGGTTGCACTCTTTGTAGTAATTCTGTCCACTTTAATTTTGTCAACGTTCGATATAGTCTATCTATACCGACGATAGTATTTAGCGTTAATAAAATGGAAATTGAAA